CTTCCTATTCTGCACTGGAGTGTGTGTGTGTCTGTGCTGTTGAATGCCTGCACTTCGTGTGCCACAACCTCAGGCCCCACACAAGGGTACTCAGGACCTGCATGCCAGGCCCCACATGGCGCTCCTCCCGTCACCCCCAGAGGCTGCTGGCCCAGCAGCAGATCCTGCACACGGCGGAGTTGGCGGGGACCTCGCAGATGAGAGGGAGGCGGGAAGCAAGAGACTAACTGAGGCTGAAGCCTACCTTACAAATGGCTCATCTCGAAGGTGGGGCACCCCTGCTGCTCTGCAGCTTCTCACAACTTCGATTTGCATTTTGACTTTCCTGCTTCCTCAGTGGGGCCACTTTCCTTCTGTAGTGCCTGGGAAATGGCATCTCTTCTGGTTCCTGGCCAATAAAGTAAATGAATAAATTAATAAATTAATAAATGAAGTTGCATGTTGAGTGTGTCTACTGCTGTCAGGTTATTTCACTGAGTTTCACTGGGCACTGGTCCAATGTTTTTTAAACTATGGATGTGCTCAAGAGTTCAAAGCCATGGTTTGTTCCAGAGCTGGCATTTTCAGTGGGGAACAGGGTGCCATAGAGAGCTTGCTGACTTGCTTTGGGCCACCCAGCTGGTGAGTGGCAGTGCTGGGAGCAGAGCCTTGAAACTCCTCCTCCTTTAATGAGAACAAGACCTTAATCCTGCCTTGTCAGCCCTAGGAGACTCTCCCAGGAGTGGAGAAGGGGCCAAATAATGTGGTCCTGCCTGCCCGTGGGGGTCTGTCCCTGAGTACCATGGCCAGGACTCAGGAGCCTTATCTCACTCTGACACTGGTCAAGAGTACATAAAGGACCCCAGGTTCCCTGTCCCTGGGTGGAGGGTGGGTGGCTGAGAGGAGGCTCCGCCCCAGTTGAGGATACCAGAGGGGAGCTACGGATGGTGGGTCCTGAGGACCAGGCGCAGAGTCTGCTGTGGGACACGCACACCTGTCTCATTTTTATGGTTTTACAAGGAAAGTGATCTTGTCTGAGACCTGCCCTTTTGAGCTCCCATTTCTCTTTCTGTGCTGGACATCGTATCCAGCCCCTATGCTCCCAGGAGCTCTTTTCCAGGTGCTCGACTTCTGGCCATCTAGACCAAGGAGGAGCTGAGCCCTTGAAGGAAGTGCTTCTTTCCTTTCTGTAAACGCCTCTCCTCTGCAGGTGATGGACATGTCAGACGGGACCCCACATACCACAGGGGTGTGGCTCTACCCTCACAGACTCAACTGTACATCAGATTCCACATCGAATCCTGGCCTTCATCCAAGGTAGGTAGATGAGGGGCGGAAAGGTGGGGACCCTCACAGAGCCCCCAGCCTGGGCTCCTATCCAGTGCTCTCACCCCCTGGCCTCCGACAGCTGGAGGGAAGACCTTGCAGCAAACCCATTACTGATTGTGCCGTGAAGCATATGGCTAGTTATACTAAGTGGCATAAATGCTATTAAAGACAAATGAGTTATGAGAAAGCTTTTGGTTTTCAGAATGATTTGAATTTCAGAATTGCAGATAAGGTCTTATGGCCTTGTGCTATCTTATTAAAACTAGTTTCATTAGCCACTAAACTCCACTTTATGGGTTGTGAATCCTCCCAAGTGACTCCTAAGGAAGATTTTATAATCCTCATTTCCCATAAGAGAACATGAGAGCTGTGTGGCTTAAAAAACTTGGTAGAGCTAGAATCTGTCAGAAGTGTTACGAATGTAAGGACAAAGAAAAAAACAGGAGGTTTTTTCTAGACAGTTGCAAAAGAAAGCTAGTTTCAACTTGGATCTGCCGCTGGGCCACCAATGGAGTGATGAGCAGAAAGGTGGTGACACGTCCAAAGACCTCAGAATGAGGGCAGCACCACCCCTCTTGAACCAGCATCACAAATGTCTCCTCCACTCTAAGGCAGGGACCGTGTCTTTTACAAATGAACTCCTAGTGTCTACAGTATGTCATGGTAGGTGGAAAATAACATTGATAAGTGAATATACCTTGTATGTTATGGGGCAGTATCTAAGAAGTCAAATGGCCAAATCCTATCTAATTCAAATAAAAGCATGTATTCTTTGCCTTCATCAAAGCCTCAAGAGTTGCATACCCAGAATAATAAATTGATATGCTCAGCCTCTTCTTGTAACAGTCTTCGTGATTTTCTTGACCTACATTTTTCTTTGGCACCATTTCCTAATGCCTAGGAGACATGGTAGTATGAGGCTGCACATACAGGAGTTGTCTTCAGTCTTTGCATCCACAGCAGTTTGTGATGGGTGAAGCTCCCAAACAGGGTACAAACCCCTGGAAGCTTCCACGCACCTTCCTGTGGTGGCAGCCATGGATAGAAAAGGTAAGCTGTGGGTTAGGCGCAATTCCCAGATGCTAACCTGCAACTCCACCTTCCTCTCCTGCTGTTTGCATTACACCCATGTGGAAAAACATGTTTGAAAATAACCTCCCAAGACCATAGCAACCCACTTCCATCTGCAGTAGGCTTCCTGCCTCTAGAGGTTGCTATTTCTGAAGTCAGAATCAGTGCCGAGAACTTGGGGCACACAGGTAAGTGAAGCAGGGCAGAAGGCTCCCGTGTCTCACACTCTGTCTCTACCGCTGCTTGTCACAGAACCTGGCTCATATTTGGTCACCAAGCACCACAGGGACTCTTTTTTAAAGGGTCGAGAAGGAAAGCAGTATTAGGTCTGAAGGCAAGGATCCTCACCCCACACTTATCTCTTTGAAAAAAGTATACATCCGTGGAACCAAGCTACTTCACAGAGGAATATGCAACGTGAGTGTCATTATGCAAAACAGCATACCAGGCAGAAGCCCAAGCTGGGACCACGACAGAGCTTCAGTGGGGAGGAGCGTCATCTAGATAGAGAAAGCTTCAGTAGTGAAGTTATGAAGTCACAAGTGTGTATTTTAAGATGGAAGAAATAATGGGTCTTAGCCAATGGAATAAATCTTGCCAGAGGTCAAGGCTAAAAGATGGATTCTATTGAGCAAGTCAGAGAGTGACTTTAGAAGTCTAGTTCTCTGGTTTATAGAGAAGCTTGTTGCTGTGAGTGGAAGAGAGAAACCAAACGGTGTTCGAAGATGTAACCATGCAGATGGCACCCAGGGGCCTCTGAGGCTGGGATGGCCTGGCCTGACGTGTTCTGATTACAGTGTCTATAAGGGGCTATTCACTGATCAGTTCTGGGTGATCCTCAGGCAGAGCTGACCGCTAGTTACCTTTCTTGGGAAATCCAATCTGGATAGAATTCTTAAATTCTTTATTTCTTCTCAATGTAACTCCAGTAGCCTGTTTCACATACACACATCTGGTCCCTACAGAGATGTCTGTTCAAGTTTTGCTCAATGCTCAGAGTATTGGTAAATACTGATTTTCTCAAAGATCTGATTATAACCCCTGTGGATGGCTTATTCTACATTTGTTCTTCCTCGGTCCTAGGGCCTACCTATCTCCTGCCACAAATATTGAGAGAAAACTTTTGGGACCTTGGCAGTCATCTGTCTTGGTTCCCTGATACCAAGAGCTAGTGGGGTGCAAGATACAGCATAATAATTCTGGGGACAGAGCTTTCTCCTGGGAGCCTTCCCGCGTGGAGAAACCCCGCCCTGTTGCTTCGGCTCCCTGACACCTGTATTTCCTGAGAGACAAAGAATAAGATTTTTCTCTCGAACTTCAACTCTTGCCAGTTTCTAGGTCGTATCATTCTTTTTAGTTCTGGCAATGACACAGTTGTTTTCCTTTGGGGGGGTGTGGGGTGGGGACGTGGTGGTGGCCAAGGTGAAGAGAGAAAGATTAGACTCTGGGGTCAAAAGACTCCGATACTGAGAATAGGCTTTGCTATTTTATAATGGGGTTGATTTTAGAAAAGTGACTTCCCATCTCTGGTTCTCAAAGCCCTATTGATTTATTTCTTTTATAAAATTAAGATAAGAATCCCCATCTCCCAGGATGGTAGCAAGGATTAAACAATTTTATTGCTCCGTCTCCTCACACGTATGGTGGGTGCTCTACAAAGGACTTCAGAATCAAGGAAGTAGGGAGGGGGAGGGACTGATAACTCAGTGTTGTAAGAGTTTCATAGCCAAGTTCTTATTTGGGATTCAAAAAGATTATTGTTCATTTTTGTTCGATTCTGGCTTCTTGAGCTCACCTTTCCAGGTCTGACCAGGCATAGTCCTCAAGGCCACCCTCATATTAACGATCTTTGCAGACACCCTATTTAAAACGTCCATGGGTACCCAATTTGTGGTTGCTTCCTGACGGACAGAAACATTCAGGCTTAGCCAACTGTATGTCAGGGGTGTGGCCCAGTGCCTCGCATAGGGGATGTGCCGGGAGATGCACATTGAATGAATGAACTTATTAAAGTCTTAGTGCCCTCGAGAGTGATTCTGAAAGGCAAACAGTTAGAGAAAGAAGAAATGTAGGACTTCTTGATAACCAAAAACCATAATACCTACCAACCAAGAACCAGTTTCTTGCCTGTATAGTGAAGACTGGTTCAGTCTTAACCCAGGAGGGCAACACTGTAGGCACAGGGGTTTACCTCTCCTGCCACTCCAATCATGACCAGCAGAAATAGTCACACCTCCAGCATAGTCACATCAACAAGGAGGCCACCCCAGCCCAGGTACAAACATCAAATGGCTAACAGGACTTTCGTTCGTTGAAAAAAATGGAAAGTTTCTGACCTCCTGCCAACAGCCAGTCTGATATCAAAGAGCCAGGAGGCTCCTCAAATTCACCAACATTTCTTTAATTAGGTGAGGAACTCTTAATGATAAACTCAATGCAGAGTAACAGGATGACGGTACAAACACAGGGAATCAGTCAGTGAGGTCAAAGCACTGAGCCGACAGTGGGGTATAAAAGCCCCGGGTGGGGTATGAAAGGCCTAGGAGGGAGGTGGGTTGTTAGACTCGGTGCTTGGCCTTCCCAGCTGCTCCGAACCTCCTGTGCAGCCTCAGCCCAACACCATGACCCCCTCCTACATCAGCACATCCCACTCTCTGGGCAGCACCAAGACTCCTAGAGCAACAAATGTCCATCTCCTCCACTGACACTGGGGGTCAGCTTGGGGCAGAGGCCAAGGCTGCCTCCCTGTGCCTCTCAGCCCCCCTGGCACATGCCCAAAGAGTCTGTGTGGGGACCACCCCTCCGGGCCAACCCAGCCTCTGTCTGCCCCATGGCTGCCACACCACTCGCCCCTTGCCAGGCACCTGCAACATTCCCGGCAACATTGGGACCTGTGCAGCCATGAGAAGGTGACCATACAGGTCCTGAATGACCACCTGGTCACCTGCCTGGAGAAGGTGTGCCAGCTGCAGCGGGACAGTGTGGAGCTGGGGACCAAGATCCAGGAGGTGAGCAAATGCCAGGAGTCTAGCGTGTGCCTGGGCTGCCAGAGCTACTTCTGGGCCACCGAGGAGCTACAGCTGAAGGTGAGGTTTGGGGTAGTCTGGGTGGGGCATTTTGGGTCTGAGGAAGGCAGAAGGGCTTGACTGTCATAAAACCACTGAGGGCTCAAGGAGTTTAGGGTCTTGGGTTCTTCTGGGCATGAGTGTAGACACCACATGAGGCTCTGGAAGCCAGAGTGTGGTGTTCTGTATGAACTGTCTTCCTGCTTTACCTCAGATCCTGGGCAGCAAGGCTGAGAATACCAGGATGACTGTATAAACTGACACCACCACGCTGGCTGCTGTTGACTTTAGAATCAAGTAAGTCAGGCTGGAAGAGGGCCCAGAGTGACTCCACTCTTCCGTTCTCCTTCCAAGGGCCCATCACAGTCCTGGCCCAAAGTAGGCGTTCAAATATCGTTACTGACTAGAGGAATGAATGAATCAATGAATAAGTATCCACCTCATTCTTCTCCAAACCATAATTTAACCTAATACAAAGAGGATGTGTAGTCTAGATTGGTATGTGCTATGTAATTTTTTCCCCATGTCTGGAAGATAAGAGGGTTTCATGTGTAACCAGAAGCAAAATCAAGTCATTGCAAGAAACTGTCGGTACATAGGTCATCGACAGACTCACTAACTCTTGGCCGAATCCATCAGAGGGAAGAATTATCACTGTAGCTCCTTGGTATCAAGAGGTACAATTGAATTTAATGAAAAAGGCAAAAAATGTGAAATAATTAATCCAAGAAGTTCAGTATCAAACTGTAGGTCCAGAAGGTTTACTTTAAAGCCATTCTTTTTCCTGGCTGACTCCTTTGGGGCAGAATGAATACTGCATTTGAAGTCTGAACATGAAGGTTGAGTCCATGTATTTACTATTAAACAAGATATTATAATCCTGGATAGTCCAGTTATTATTTCTGAGCCTGTTTCCCGTAGTCAACGGGCATAATGATACTTGTCCTGACCATGAGTTCTGTAGCTACATGATCCAACGCAGTGAATGCTGATCAAGTGAGGAAATGAGGACCCAGGGTGATGAAGGCTGTGGGACTGGGGGCAGCTGAGAGGGGCTGTCTTGGCATCTTGCTGACCTCACATCTCCTGTGATGGAAGGCACGAGAATGAGCACTCCCTGTGTCAGGTGGTGGAGGCAGACACATGCGGGATGCACAAGTTTCTGGATGACCTGAGCCTGGCCAAGGCTGGCCTGGAGGCCCAGCAGGAGTCCCTGAAGGAGCATCTCTGTCTTGAGAGCAACCATCAGCTCTTAAGGCCCTGTGGCTGCAGACTTATGGGGGATATTGGGGGGCAGGAAAGGGAGGATGCCTACCTTGAGGCTCTAGGACTAGCACCTGGGCTCAGTGGGCTTTAGGAGAAAGGGGTGATCTGGGTGTGAGTCAGGCTGACTCTGTGGGAGGTGGCCGACTGGGTGTTTCTCATCTCCAAAGATTTGCTGTGTGCATTTAAGAAGGTATCCAATGGGCTCTTGCCATTGACCCTGGGCAGACCTTTCCCATCAGTGAGTATGTGGGGTTGCCTCTCCTGTTGCTTTTTGGGGAGGAGTGCAGGTGCTGGATGCTCTGTGCAAAACCCTTTCTCACATAGGGTGTTGGTCCTTCTGATCCTGCAGGAAGTGAGCACTCTGAAGTGCCAACTGGGGGACAAGCTCTGGATTGAGCTGGACACGGAGCCCACTGTGGATCCGGGCAGGGTGCTGGAGGAGGTGTGGTGCCATGGTGGAGACCAACCTCTGTGATGTGGAGCGGCGGTTCCAAGCTCAGGTGAGGGCGGCGCTGCAGAGCAGGGAGAGACCCTGGCTTTCATCTGGGCAGGGAGGTGGCCTTGTCTCTCTTTGCACTTATGCTTCAGTCTGAAGGCATCAGCCTGCAGGCCACATCCTGCTCCAAGGAGCTGCAGTGCTGCCAGTCAGAGATCCTGGAGCTGCGATGCCCCGTGAACGCCCTGGAAGTGGAGCGCCAGGCTCAGCCCGCGCTGGTGAGTCCTGGGCATGCAGGGAGGACTCAGCTTGGCTCCCCTCCTGTGAGCAGCTGCTGGGCTCTGTACATGCCTCACGTAAACACAGACCAGGGGCACAGCTTAACCCGTAACTTTCCGGCCTTTGCAAAATGTTTTCTTAGAGGTGGATGCTGAGGAAATGAACCTAACCCAGAGGAGGAAGGTTTTGCAGACTTACCCTAAGATCTCTGTTGAAGAACCCTGGGACTTTCTTAGATCACCCAGGGGAAGACTGCTAGTGGGAGCTGGATTGTCTCCGGCCTGGCAATGTCTTGGGGTATTATGGTCTTACTGAAGAACCTGAGGGCTGGGATCCATTATTTTTAGCCTGCTACCCACTTTGGTACTGCAGAAAGGCTGTCTGCGGAACTCCCTGCGTGAAGCTGAGGCCTGCTTCAGCACCGAGCTGGCTCAGATGCAGACCCTTATCAGCAATGTGGAGGAGCAGCTATCTGAGATCTGGACTGACCTGGAGCAGCAGAACCAGGAGTACCAGGTGCTGCTAGACATCAGGGCCCGGCTGGAGGGCGAGATCACCACGTACTGGAACCTTCTGGAGAGTGAGGACTGCAAGTATGTACCCTGTTGCTATTTGTGTCCAAGTCACATATAAAAGCAGAGACCTCTTATTGGGAATGACCTAAAGGGAGGGGGTGGTATTGCAGACCCCATCTTTGGGGACAAACTAGCTACCTAGTAAGTGTGGTGAGCCACCTGGGGCAGAGGAGGGCATGTGGGAGCTTTTCAACTTCTGCCATCCATTGTGCTGAGCACATTATGCTCCTAGAGGCAAATCACTCCCACAGGGGACAAAATATTGGGCTCAGTGCAATTTAGGTTTTGCTAAATTCTCTCTGGAAGAATATCCTAGGAGCAGGGAGTCTTCATACTCAGCATTTAAAAATATTGCTAAAGGCATTTGCACCAATTCTTTCATTGTAATCCCTTCACAGGGCTGTGAAAAGGGGCAGATGGACAGTATACCCTGTTAAGCAACAAGGAACAAGACTAGGGGCTGTGTTTAAGTTAGGAGGGTGGCTGGCTCAGGTCAGCCCACCTTTCTCTCCACCATGTTCCTTTCCCCACAGGAGGAAACCCTGGTTCGGCACACGGGCACCCTGGGCTCTTATTCCAGTTCCACTGTGGACTCCGGGCAGGTCGCTGCCCCGTTCAAGGCCTCGAGGGACCTCTAAGGTCCTCGATCCCTCTGGTTTTCCACTTCTAAAGTGTCTATATACTTTTGTCTCTCATGCACGTCTCACACCAATGTTTCAAACACCTGTGTTTTCTCTTCAGGCTCCCCTGCTCCCCGGGCAGGACGTTGGCCTCCAGCACCGCCTGCCCAGCCCCTGCAGCCTGTAGCCCCTGCACTCCCTGGCTTTCGGGGCCTCCTTGAGCCTCCTGGGGGCCCTGTTCATGCCCTCAGTGCTGACATACCTCCTCTGCTAGAGGTACTGGATAACGGGAGACGTCTGCAGCCCCCGTGGCCCCACTCTCCAGGCTTCCTGCCCAAGGCTAACTTCATCAGCCAGCTGGGCAGGAGATTGAAGCCAGGTGATGTTTCTCTGCTGTCGGGCTTTCCAGTCCAGTAGCTCAGCCCTGGCCCCTGGATTCATGTCTCCTCTCTCAAGGTGCCTCCATACTCCATTCCCTCTCTTTCACTGCCTCCTGGTCTCTCTGAGATGTGGCAGGTAACCTTGTTTCTTTTTTCCCAATAAACCTCACTTGTGCAGCATAAACAGCCCAGTGCCTGCCTCTCTCAGTTTCTCCATGCTGACAGTGTTGCAGGGAGCCAGCATTCCTGTAGAAGCAGGGGGCATGGTTCACTCATCAGGGTGGTTCGGGGAGATGGCAAAGCCAGTGGGCACTGTGGTTACAAATGGCAGTGCAGGGCCACAGCACGCATGAGAGCTACCCAGCTCTTGACCCGACCAAGCTTATTCACAGCCAGATTCACAGAGCTTTTAAAATAGACTATGATATGAGTCATAAGAAATCCATATTTGGTCATTGAGGTGACTAAATACATATTTCCCAGGTATATTTGGTCTTCATCCACAGTTTCTGAAAACACTGCAGTCTTAAAGGTGAAATGGGTATTTTGTCATGTTAATGAGAGACTTTTGGACCCCACCCAAGGGCAGGGGAGAGGCTGAATCAGCCAATAGCCAATAATTTAGTCAATCATGACTAAGCAATGAAGCCCTCACAAACCCCCTGGGAAGGGCTTGTAGCCTCTGCTCTCTGGGCTCCTGCTTCTCGGCTTGGGAGAACTTACCCCGTTGGGGAACCAGACGCCTCCAAGTGCCACCAAGCCTGGCCCCAAGCTCCACAAGGATAGAAGCTCTGTTTTTGCGGGCCCTGTTCTATGTATCTCTTCATCTGGCCGTTAACTTGTATCCTTTACTACAGTATCCTTTATTAAACTGGTAAAGTGTTTTCCTGAGTTCTGTGAGCCGCTCTAGCAAATTAACCAAACCCAAGGGGGAGGTCGCTGGAACCTCCAATCTGTAGCTGGTTGGTCAGAAGCACAGGTAACTGACTGGGATTTGTGACCCGTGTCTGGAGTCGGGGGTGGAGGGCAGTCTTACAGGACTGAGACCTTAACCTGGGGAATTTGGTGCTGTCTCCAGGGCAGATATAATCAGAACTAAGTTCTCGGACACCATGCTGTTGTTCGAAATTTGCTTGGTGTTAGTATGGGAAGACCCCCTCCCACATGCTTAACACACATTGGAATCAGGTCCCAAACCTGAATGGAGTTATACTATTACTGCTGTGTATAACACTATTATTGTTATATACATACGTAGGAAAAGCACACATTGTACAGACACTACATAAAATCCTCCTTTTATATGGATGAAGCCAACTGGTCCTTGTGCAATGGAAAAGCTCAGGTCAGAGATTCTGCCAACACCCTTAGAAAACTTAAAGTAAGCTTTATGATCACATGCCCATTATAAGCAAGGTGCTGTGCTGGGGCTTTCCAGACATAGTGACACAGGGTCCCATATAAACCCTGCACAGAAGGAGCAGCTGTTACTATTCTCAGCTGGTGGCTGAATCAAGACTTGAACCCCAGTCTCTTTGAACTAGATCCAAAGCCCGTACTCTGGAAGCTTCAAAGGGGAAAAGAATAAAACATGAGGTTTAGGGCAGTGCTTCTAAAAGTGTGGTCCTCCACCCAGTAGTACCAGCATTAACTGGGAACTTCTTGGAAATGGAAATTTTGGGGCCCCACTCCACACTTTCTGAAAAAGCGGTCCAGTTTATTCAGACTTCCAGGTGATTCTATGCACAGTCAAGGCAGAGAACCTCAGGTTAGGGAGTTTCTTTGGGGAGGGAGCCCTTGATTGGCTGGACACTGCAGAAAGGGTTGGCCTCACTCTTCTGATAGATCCTGTGGGTGAGGAATCCCTCATCCCATCAAGACAGCACCTTTCTGCTTTACACTGCAAAACTCTGGACACATGAAATAATGGTTATTGCCGAGCCTGTCAGACTGTCCATCTAGGAATGGCCAGACTGAGCCATCGAAGCTCCCCCACAGGCTCCACCGGCAAGTCCTTCTGGACGCTGCCCACTTGGAACTTACAGACAGTGAATACATGAGCCAGAAGCTCCATACCTAGGTAGCTGTCTAAGAACAGCACGTTTGTCCAGAAAGCGGCATTGGAGCCGGCCAGAGATGGGAAACAGTGAGTTCCCCATCCCTGGAGGCATTCTGCAGGGCCTTTAAACCACCTGGTGGGGATGTGAGGAGGTTACTCGGGCATCTGACGGGGCTGGATGAGAGGGCTGTGGAGGGTCTTCTAGCCCCCAAATTCTATGACTCTCTGCTTTCTAGGTCTTATTCATCAGTGACACTACACGTGTTAAAGTGAAGCCAACAAGCCCCAGTCTAGGAACTAGTTCTTGCCTTACCTTTCTGCTCCATGAATTCTCTGAATCAGAGGAACTTGCTAAGATATTTGCAAAGTCCAACTGATGGTTATTAAGTCCAGTCCAACCTGGTATGAGGGGGACCACAGTCCTAAGCCCTAAGCTTGGGAGAAGGCTTGCACCAGCTCCTGGTTACTGTGCCTCAATGGCTCTCAAGCCCAGATATTACCTGTCGGCCACTGTCTGTGTAGACAGCATTGATCTGCCTGGGAGGCATCAAGACCTCACAGAGGAGGCTCTCTAAAGATCAGAGACTGGGACACTCTTCCCTCCCTTCCTGCCCACTGCCCCTCTGCCCTTTCTCCCAAGTGGTAGAGGTATCTGGGCACAGGTGACACACCCCTGAGGCACTTATCCAAGCTAGGCCCATAAAAACATAATAAAAAAGTAATCTTGATTAGTCTTAATTTAGCACCTTGCCCAAATACCTTATCCTCTTCCTTTGTACTTAAGTAGCTCCTTTCATCCAAGTTCAAAGCTGTCCAACAAAATAAACCCACTTATTCTTGCACCATGACAGAGTAGGCAAGCATTGTTCTTCCCATTTAAGGAGAGGGAAAGAAGGTGAGTCATTCAGGGATGAGGGATTCTTCTGGTGACATGAAATGAGTCAGGGGACCCCAGGGTGATTGACCTATGTTTCTTAAATTCACATCCAATGCTCTGACTGTCTTGTAATTTGTAATTACAAGATTGGCTTTGATGATACATTGTGTGTATATGTGTGTGTGTGTCAAGTGGCTTGGGTTCCTGGGAAGAAATGCTGGGTGGAAGGGATCATTATGCTTGGGAAGGGGCAGAGAGCTTCCTTGGAAGCCTGACAGCCTATCATTACCAATATCGCTACTCTCACCACCACCAAATCAGGCTTTTCATCACCATTATCACCATCACATATCTTCAACATCATTGTCCCCAAAGCTCACGTTCATTGAGCTCTGTGAGCCAGGCACTGATCCAAGTTACAGGTTAGTTCATAGGCACAAACTCATTTAGTCCTTACAACAACCTTATGAAGCCAGTGCTACTGTTATCCCTGTTTTGAAGATGAGCTACTGAGGCTCAGAGAAGTTAAGTTACACACCCAAGATCACACAGCTGCTAGGTGGTGAAGCCAGGATTCAGATCCAGGAAGTCCTCCAGCACCTGCGCCCCTAACCACTGTGCTTTACAGGGGCCAATCTCCAGCTGTGTCAGCTGAATGACAGAACCATAATGGCCCCATTGTTTTGATTCCTTTCCACTGCGGGACATGGGGGTGCTTATGCTAGAGGACCCATTTCTGGGGATTTATGTCACAAAGGCTGCTGTAAGGAAGGAAAGTTCTAGAGCATCTCAGAACAGCTTGAAGATCCGGGCAGTTTTAATGACTGTGAACCACCAAAGGTCAGCCCACCCACTGCCACCACTAAAATCACTTTGTCTACTGAGGAAGAAGAGGAGAGCAACAGGTGGAATCCCTTACATATGTTTTCATTTCTCCATTTACAAAGCACTTTCATGTGTGGCACCCAATGTGAGCCGTGCCCCCCCAAACCCACAGGGAGGCAGACCAGCCTTCACAGAGGAGAGTTCAGGGTGAGGAGGTACAATGACCTCCCCAAGGTCTCACAGCTGGTCTCCCTCAAGCCCGTCTCCCCGTTTCCAGGCCATTGCCTGTTCCCTACACCAAAATGCTAAGGGCTTTGCTGGAGGTATGTCTGGATCAAACTTCACATTTAGACCCACTCTGAAATGCTGGGGTGAGGCGGCTGAGACAGATTTTCCAGGGTAGAGGTGCTGGAGGGCCTGGGACTCCCCCCAAGGATAATCCTCCTGCTTTCTCCCATCCTGCCGTGCTCTCCACACCCCAGCCACATTTCGGACTGAGCTCCTGGTGTCTCCTGCCCTCCCTCAGCTGAGACTCCCCGCTTGGGCTGCTTCTTGTACCCAAATCTCCCTTGCCTCCCTTCCCACTCTTCCTCCCTGGCTGTCAGACACCCTGAACACATGCAGCATCACTCGCACTGGCCTCCAAGGCCCTCCACCAAAGTGCCCCTGCCCTGCGGGAGTTCTCTCAGAGCCCAGTGGCAGGAGGTTTGCGTCTGCTCACCAGCAGACTCACTTCTAACCTCCATTTCTCTCCACTGACCTCATTCCCTCCTTATTCTTCCTCTTTCATGTGCTTCATCTGGCATTGCCCCTTTCCTTTCTTCTGCTCCAAACCACATCCCCGGAAGCCTCTTTCACCTGCTCTGAAACTCATCTTGAGGCTGTGGGTTCTCTGGGAATGCGGCGGGCCTGAAGCAGCGGGCAGTCGCCACCATTCACCCTTGGTCTCTGAGGACCCCAAACTCATTGCCAGGCCGGGCTGAAGAAAAACTCGTAAAGGGATTTGGATTCTAATGAGGTCAGTTTGAATTCTACCTCTGAGTCACCGAGAGGGTGGAGTCACCAATAAATCTCCCTCAGGATACAGGTAAATCATCTGAAATGATCTCTTCCCTCATCTCCTGGCTGAGAATCATGAACTGGTTGAAACAGCCTGAGTGGAGTTTGGCGCAGGAGTAGGTGTGGGAAGAAGTATAGGGGGAAAGGAAGAAACTTTTGGGGTGAAGGGCCCAATTATATTACCTCATATTAGAGTTGGCTGTGGACCTGTCTTTCTGCTCAGCAGGACTGAGAGCTTGCAGAAGGCAGGGGCATGCCATCCCCCACTGTCCCCCAGGTGCCCCATCCCCAGCCAGGCA